TGTGTGGACTTCAACTCCCAGAATTCCCCAGCCAGAATACTGGGAGTTGAAGTCCACACATCTTCAAGCTGTCAAGATTGAAACAGGTCTAGATGATCCTTGGCCAGGATCCAACAGGAACACTGCATTTCCTTACAGCACCCTGTTTTGTGCAACTGAAAAAAGAAAGTGGATGGTTGTGAATAAAAATGCAGGGTTCCCCTCTCTCCCTCTATTATGCAGATTACTACAATATCTTTGGTTGTAATCAAATGGTTTACATAATTACAATTACTGCTCCATGATTGCAGGCTATGTAGACATTTGTCTACATAGCTGTCGTTAAAAGACATCTCTCTGCAAGAAATTACTGTTATGGGAAATATTTCTGAAATATGGGTTTCCAGCATGTACTGATCCAAAAACTTTACCGGGACCTGTAATTTTCTGGGAAGGACTTTGAAAGAGAGTCTAGAATTGGAGGGCCTTTTTAATTGAATGAGACTGGAGCTAAAAATGCTTACAATCCACCAGGACATGTTTGATAAATTTGTGTTAATTTAAAACCTAATCACCATGTAATCTTGAGCATCATTCACAGGTGCAGGTTACAAATTAACAGTGGCTTCCAGTTAAGTAAGATTAAAAAATTTTGGTGTAGTATGACCATTATATTCACATATGGATTCTATATGTGCATGTAAATTTGAAAGTAGGCCCTGTTGGATTCTATAGGATCCACTTAAATATTATTGGAATACAAGCCTTGAACCCAAGCTGCTTTTCTCTTATTTCTAGAAACATAATGTTAGGTATTGACTCTTGATTCTTTCTGAATATTATAACATATGAGATTCAGTTTTGTTCTTAGGATGGATTTTGGAAGCTCAACATGCAAGTGAGTGAGGTGCCCTCCTCCTCATGTGAATATTTAGTACATGGAAGGGTTTGGGGGTCTTGAGAGTATCATATAATCCAGGAATTTACACACACACCTGTTGCATATAAACTATTCTTATAAATCTTTTTATCATGCTGAATTGGATTTAGCAGTTACACATCAGCTGAACCTTAATTTCCTTAATTATGATTGGTTGCTTATGCCAAAGTTGTAGGTTGATACCTAATGCTAAACTATAATGTGTGTGTGCATGCCTTTAAGTCAGTGAAGGCAGGACAATTAAATAACAGCTGGTAGAAGGCAAAACCTTGTCTAAATATGATAGGTCTTAAAAACTGTTTACAGTGTGAAGATTGCTACTCTATTGGATTATAATAGGCAGCTGGTTTCATAATTTGGAGATAACTAATGATCTCCAAATTATGAATGAATTTGATCAAGTTTTCTAAACTGAATTTTAGTGCATAGATGGGGTGGGGGAAAGATGTTCTGTGAAGTTACTTAGTGGCCAGACTATAAAGCGGCATTAAAAGTAAAAATAGCACTCTTTAAAGCAAATTGGTAAAGCTGGGAAACTCCTATAAAATTGATATTATAATTTCATGGGTAGTAAATCTTGTTGCTAATTCTGGAGTCCAGATCAGTTGCACTTTCTGAATAGTCTTGGAGGCCAGCCCATGTCAAGTATATTGCAGCCCTGTTGAGAGTTTACTAGGGCATATAACATAATGGACAAGTACCTCTTTCAAGAATTGAGTAGCTGATGAAAAAGCCAACACAGCATGATACAAATATTCTCAACCACTTCACTTTTGTCATCTGGGGAGCCCTGGATCGAAAAGTATGTCTATATTACAAATCTACCCTTTCCATGAGCATGTGATTCCATTGCTCACATTTGCTGACAAGTTAATATCAGATTTGAATTTCAGGCGTTCTCATGGGCTAGGCCAGCTTATTGCCTAAATGAGATACTTTACAGTGCTAGAAACATATTGGCTAGCTATCTCCTTCCTTGCCCTTTTAGTACACTAAAGGATTTATTATGAGATCGTAGGTATTTTTGTAGAGAAATAATTATTTAATAACTGTTATCTTGGTGGTTATGTTTTCCTAACTTTGTGCCTTAATTCTATGAGTGCATTTTTGTCACTGAATATGAATAAAAAGCAGTGCTCCTTTCTGATCCAAAGCACAGATTGAAAAAGGTGTTGTTTCTACAGGTAGATCTTACACGTACCTTCACGTTCCGTAACTCCAAGCAAACCTATACAGGCATCCCCATAATCGTAGCAAATATGGACACTGTGGGCACTTTTGAAATGGCACAAGTTATGACTAAAGTAAGTACTTCTTAATTCTCCTCTCCTATAAAAAAAAGAAATGAAAATAACATTTGAATTAATTTGAAGTCATTGGAACCATTTAAGCCATTGACCTTGATGTGGTCTGCTGTCTGTAGTAAATGTAATCTTCCATAAAAAGTAAACTTTATGACTGGTCTGAATAACACTCATGTGAAACATAAGCCCGTTAAGGGTAGCCAATTTTGAATATTGCTAATTTTTGTAAGAAAGTTACCGCTTATTGAAAGAGGTTCTGTAGTTAAGTTGTGAAAGAATTTAGCTGAATTTGTATTATTCTCAAGCAGCCCATTTTTTTTTCTCAAAGAATCCTAGGAACAATACATCGGTGAAGGCAGGACTCTTTCGCAGGTTTTTTTATTCTTGAACTTTTAATACTTGGGAGCTTGCAATGAATTTCATTGGAATGGTCATGTTATGTAGACTATATCAAGAAATTTCACTAATCTTAATATGAAATTAAAATTACATAAATTATATTTTTATAGTCTGTAAGATGAAAACATTTGTTATCTATTTTATAACTCTTGAAGGACTCAGATTAGCATATTTAATAGTTTTACTACTATATATAGTATAATAGTATAGATTTGGTAATATTTCAGATGTGTGTTGAAACTGAATTAAAATGTGCTGAAATAGTACGTTTCTAGTTTGTAAATATACAGTAGCTCCATGTTCTTATATGTAAGCCACAGTCATCTGCTCCTTCATTCATTCAATTTATATCCTGCTCTTTGATTTATTGATCTCCAAACAGCATCAATAAACATATGATACCAATAAATATATGATACCATTAAAAATAAAAATAAAATAACTACACCATATAGACAGAAAATTACATGCAGACATACGTGCATGCTTATCACACTATTCTCTTTCAAGGTATCATTATGCGAAGGGCAGAAAAGGAGTAAAAATTATTAAGCAAAAGAAATTAAAGGCATGAAATAAGGAAAAAAAAGGAAAGATACCTAAAATTAGTTCATACCAACATCATTCATTATACCTCTCTTTATCTTTCTATCCCTCAATCTTCGCTTCCGTCATATTCATCCATCACTTCATCCATTGTCTTTTGATCTTTAGATGTCCCACCTCTGTCTTTGAGGATATCATCAACTTTATCCAACCAGTTTTCTCAATCTGCCTTTCCTTTTGACTCATTTACTAATTTGTTTTGCAATTTGATCTTCATTATTTCTCTCTGTATGTTCAGACCACCTCAGTGTACTTTTTGCCTAGTAGTTACTTACTTTTATATTCAGCCCTATTCATTCTTGACTTTAACTCTTGTTTGACCACATTGACTTTTTAAGTAAACCGTTCCTGTTGCAGTCAACTTTTTAAAATGTTTCTCTTAACAATTCCAGTGCTCAATTTCTTGCTCTCTTGACCACATTCCTTGCAACTTTATTTTTCTCTGTATACCATTAAACAGTATTTTTTCCTCATATTTTGTAATAATTCTCTCATATGCCTTTTTCTCATGCACAACCTCTTCTACTTTATCATCTCACCCAATCATCTTTTTCCATACTTCCTGTTTACCTCACGCTTCTATGGTAGTCTGTAATGGTTCTTAGATAAGAACAGCTCTTTTATCACAGTTCTTAATCATTTTCTTCTCTAATGGACTCTTAGTATAATTACTAAATTATTGTAGAAGATTGCAGGCTTATTATTCAATCCTATAATGATTGAACTCAAATAAAATTATTTACAAATAATGCCAAAATTCCACTATTGTGGAAATCTATGGCAGTCATACCACATATGGACAGAATTCATATTTTAAGCCAGTTGCTTGAATCTGGAGGACCGTTGACCTCCAAAGAAGCATTCAGGCCAAAGGCTTTAGCTCCTCACTGCTGTCTCTTTCATGTGTAGTCTAAGACAGGGTTCCTCAACCTTGGCAACTTTAAGACGGGTGGACTTCAGCTCCCAGAAGTCCCCAG